TCCCAGATGGAACTCCTCAGCTCTCCTATCTCAACGTCGCTGCTCCCTAGGATTTCATACAATCCTCAGCACATCCAAAACCTGCTTGCTGACATGCTCCTCTATCCCGTCCCATCAAATTGATTTTTTTCTTTTTTGAAACGGGGTCTCGCTCTGAAACTCTCTCGCTGGAGTGCAGTGGTGTGATCACGGTTCACTGCAGCCTCGAACTCCTGGGTTTAAGCCATTCTCCCACCTCAGTCCCCCAAGCAGCTGGGACTACAGGCACACACCACCACTCCTGGCTAATTTTTAAACTTTTTGTAAAGAATTACTCAGTCTGATTACAAATTCCTGGACTCAAGCTGTTCTGCTGCCTCGGCATCCCAAAGTGTTGGGATTACAGACGGGAGCCACTGAGCCTGACCCAAGCCGCTTTGCTTTTTTCTCACCTCAGTTGATGATATTTGAATCCTTTTAGCAAAAGGATGAGGTTCTGGTGTTGAGAAACGTTAAGTGTGTGAATATTGAGAAATGCTGAGTGTGTGACAGAATATATTGTTTGCTAGGAAGAACGATGGCAAGGAAAACCCAGCCAGCCCTCCCAAGTAGAAAACTACTCGGGACATTCCAAAGTGGCAGGACAATAGATGAACATCATACACCTGTTAAAAATCATTCCTTGGATAGCTGACCCTGCCCCCGTGGCTCCCTCGTGGAGAATACTTTTTAGGTTGTTTGTGATCAGTGGTAAGCAGGCACCAGCTGCCTACTTGGCGTGCTTTGTGTTATAAGAAAATACCAAACACCTGCTTGTTAATAATGACCACCTGTTCAGAGAGACTAACTGCAGGGGGTCAGTGGCTGCTCCGGGCGTTCAGCCTGGAATGCTGTCAGGCCCTGAGGCTCTCAGCTTAGAGGGCGGCTGCCCCGCCCCCCCCATAGTCCCACTTTGCTGTTCTATCTGGGTGTCTGCCTCTCAGTTCCTTCAGCCTACCTAGGTGGGGGGTCTCTACGGCCGAGCTGGTACTCGGTATTCTGGGCTGGGTTTTCCAGGAGATGGTGGGGCCTTGGAGGATTCTTAAACTGGACTTGCCAGAATTAGGACCACACCCACCCGACTCTTACCCTCTGACCTCCCAGCTTTAAAGCTGGACATCTGGGCCGGGCACAGTGGCTCACGCCTGTAATCCCAGCACTTTGGGAGGTCGAGGCGGGTGGATCACAAGGTCAAGAGATCGAGACCATCCTGGTCAACATGGTGAAACCCCATCTCTACTAAAAATACAAAAAATCAGCTGGGCATGGTGGCACGTGCCTGTAATCCCAGCTACTCAGGAAGCTAAGGCAGGAGAATTGCCTGAACCCAGGAGGCAGAGGCTGCGGTGAGCCGAGATTGCGCCATTGCACTCCAGCCTGGGTAACGAGAGCGAAACTCTGTCTCCAAAAAAAAAAAAAAAAAAAGGCTGGACATCTGTTTTATCCCAGCTCTTCTTGGCAGCTAAGCTCATAGTCGGTGAGGTCCTAATGCTGCCTACTGGCTGTGTGACCTTGGACAAATTAATCTCTCTGTGACTTGGCTCACCTGTGAAATGAGAATAATCTGAATACCTAGGTTTTAGGGTGGTTATGAAGTTTGAAATACATAGACACACATAGACACACACACAATGCTCTCAATGATCCAACAAAGAAGTAGGCTCTGTGCCATTTTACAGATAAGGAAACTGAGGCTCGGAGAAGTAAATTGACTTTACGGCTCACGATAAGTGCAGTGCTGTGACCATACCCAGGCCACCTGAACTCCTAATGACCACACTGTGCAGCTTCCAAAAGAGGCGCATGTGACCTGGGAGCCCTGAAAGGGTGGGGAGAAGCCATTTCAGCCTCCATTATCTCCAACCAGACTAGAGTGTCATTTTATGCAGATTTGTGTAATCAAATTAATGCATAGGTTGAGTCAACTTTTGCCTATTTCATTCATTTCTCTAAAATTTTTTTCTAGTCACTGTCCACAACCCACTTTAAAACTGAACTAGGGGCCAGGTATGGTGGCTCACACCTGATCCCTAACCAATCCCAAAGGACCCTCCACTTATATTTAACCACCTCAAAGTCCCTTCCCCGTGCCAACAGCCTCCAATCAGGGAGTACTTCAGGGTACCTGAAGCTCTCCCACTCCTCTGCCTGCCTTTGAGTCTCTGCCTAAATACAAGTGACAGTGGCTGACTCCCCTGCCACAGCAGGCTCTGAATGAATAGCCTTTGCTTTTCCCGTTTGGTTGGCCTTTGTTTATTTCCACAGCTTAAAAAGCCCCAGCTTCTCATAGCTTTGTCAAGCCAGGGTGGGCACGGTGGCTGACTGACGCCTGTAATTGCAGCACTGTGGGAGGCCGGGGAGAGCAGATTGTTTGAGGCCGGGAGTTCGAGACCGGCCTGGACAACATGGTGAAAACCCTCCTCTACCAAAAATACAAAAGCTAGACAGGTGTGGTGGCGGGTGCCTGTAATTCCAGCTATTCGGGAGGCTGAGGAAGGAGAATCACTTGAACGTGGGAGGTGGAGGTTTCAGCGAATGGAGATCGAGCCACTGCACTGCAGCCTGGGCAACAGAGCGAGACTCAGTCTCGAAAGAAAAGAAAACAAAGATTGGAAAACCAAACCTCATATCTTCTCACTGATGTGCAGGAGCTAAGCTCTTAGGACGAAAGGGATAAGAACGATACAATGGACTTTGGGGACTTGGGGGGAAGAGTGGCGGGGGGACGAGGGATAAAAGACAACACATATGGTGCCGTGTGTACTGCTCAGGTGATGGGTGCACCAGGGTCTCACAAATCACCACTGAAGAACTTACTCATGTAACCAAACACCACCTGCACCCCAATAATGTATGGAAAAATAAAATTGTAAAAATATCAATTATATATAAAAATATTGTGTATTTTTTATTAAAATTATTAAAATATTGGTATATGTTATTAAAAATATATAAAGTTACACTCAGGCTATGTGTATAAGATGTCTATAAACATAAATTTTATGTTTAGACTTGGGTTGTATTCCCCAAATATCCCATTACGTATATGCAAATATTAAAAAAAAAATCCCAAGGCTGGGCATGGTGGCTCATGTCTGTAATCCCAGCCCTTTGGGAGGCCGTGGCGGGCGGATCATCTGAGGTTAGCAGTTCGAGACTAGCCTGACCAACATGATGAAACACCATCTCTACTAAAAGTACAAAAATTATCTGGGTGTGGTGGCATGCACCTATAATCCCAGCTACTCGGGAGGCTGAGGCAGGAGAATCTCTTGAACCCAGAAGGCGGAGGTTGCAGTGAGCTGAGATTGTGCCACTGCACTCCAGCCCGGGCAACAAGAGTGAAACTCTGTCTCAAAGAAAAAAAAAAAAAAAAAATCCCAAAAACTGAAACACTTTGGTCCCAAGCATTTCGGTTAAGGGACACTCAAGCTGAACCTCCACGCCCGGGGCCTGGCTTGTGTTTCCAGGCTACCCAGTGCCTGTGGAGTCCTCTGCTTCATGAGTCCTGCTGGAGACTTTCGTTCTTAGCTTCTTTTGCAGTTGGGAGCTGTCACGTGGCCCAGGCTCCCCCAGTCAAAGGCACCTTGTGAGACTTTGCTTTGGAAGCCAGAGACACAAGGGTGCAACACCACGCGAGGTACATCGATGGTGAATATGGCGGCCAACACATCCACCAACATATGGACTCCATGAGGGCAGAGATCTTTGCGTGCTTCCTTCTTTCTTTATTTTGAGACAGAGTCTTGCTCTGTCACTCAGGCTGTAGCGCAGTGGCACCATCACAGCTCACTGAAGCCTTGAATTCCTGGGTTCAAGAGGTCCTCCCACCTCTGCATCCCCAATAACTAGGACTATAGCATTCACTGCCATGCCTGGTTAATTTTTTTATTTTTATTTTTGACATGGAGCTTTGCTCTTGTTGCTCAGGCTGGAGTGCAAT